TAACCAGTATTTTGGACCGGTATTTTACGATTTTTACGATATGATCCCGGTACAAACCGGTATAACTGTAAATCCGGTATTTTGAGTGTATTTGTATCGTGCCAATGGTCGGTATCCGGTATTACCGGTATTACCGGCCGGTACGGTAGTATTTAAAACGTATGAAATGTGGCATGACTAAGTAGAGATCAATATCACTAAATTTTTTTATCATTTTACATTTGCGTCTATGTAGAATCAATTCATTATAAATGCTGAGAGGCTTGTAACTTGAATCTCCATCTGCACTATGTGGTTTGATTTGTTATGCAAGAGTGAACCAGCCGAGCCGAGTTCAAGCGCTAACAAGCCTGAAATTGAGCTCAAATTCATCTCGTTTAACACTAATAATGAACTTTTGTTCAAGCATAAACAAACCGATCTCGAGCTTTAATGAGCCCAACTATAAAAATTATATAAAATTTCTTTTCGAGCCAAGTTTGGGTCGACTCGTTAGCCAAACGAGCTTTAAATGAGTTCGAGCAACTCACTAATCAATTAATGTTTAATATCTCTCTCTCTCTCTCTCTATATATATATATATATGTATATATATATATGCTAACAAAAAATTTAATAAAATTATTTAAAAATTTCCATCTTTTTTCATTACAATCCAATAATTCTTTTTTAACCAGTAACTGAAATTGAATAATTACTTTTTTTAATATAATAGTTAATTAAAGTTAATCTTGCTTTTAATTATTCTATTATATAATAGTTATTACTAAAACCAACCAATTACAATTCACACTAAATATTATATAAAAATTGAACAAGTATAAAAAAATATATTACAATTTTTTTCTTAAACTATTTATTACTCTTATTTATTTTAATAAACTAATTTGTATTTAGTGGTAAACCAAACATATTAAACTTTTAATAATAATAATGATAATACTTTTTAACATAATTAACGGATCATGATCTTTCAAATGGTAAGGAGATACTTTGAATTTGTTTGGTTAATTTTGGAAAAAGATAGTATAACTAGTTGTTAAAAGATTTTGAGTTTGTATTAAAATAATAGTTAAAATAAAATAATTAAAGTTGATTCGATGTTAAAGTAAGAGAGACGATACATGAAGTGATGAAAACAACATACCCAGTATATTCCCAATTGGTTGGGGTCTGGGGGGTCAGTTGTACGTAGACTTTACCCTTGTAATTAATTATACAATGAGTCTGTTTCCGTAGCGACCCAAGATGCATTACGTCGTTTGATATATTCTTTTTTTTTTCTCTAGAAACTCCACTAATAGAATAAGCACTAGAATTTAATTGAGCCATTTTGATCTAGTCCATTATTAGCACTATGCTAGGAGAATTGTCAACAATGACTCTTCCAGCTCCATTTGCAATGAACAAAAATACATGAAGGATGATTAATTAAAATTACGTGACTGAATGAATAATAAGTTAAAGTCAGTATAACATGTAATAATGATGGTCTGATTATTATTTAATTATATTAATAGTAATATCAAAAATAGCATGATTGAGTTAAAATTAAATTAAAAAATAATTAGCTAAAATAAGTAATTAAAAATAATTAGCTTCTTTTATTTTTTTTTTTTTAAAAAAAAATCAATATCCAAATCCAAGCATGCTAATAAAAATCTTGAATGAAATGGATAGCCGTGTGTAGGAAGGAAAATGCGTTTTTGGGGAAGGCAATAAGTAGCCACCGCTGAGGATGGTTTCCATTCACTAGTCAATTTATTGGGATTGCGATTCATAGTAATATTTTAAAACCTATATACACTAGTACGACATCTATGTATTACACGGGTGCTTGTTAAAAAATTATTCTTAAATTTTAAAATTAATGAGAAAATTATATTAAATTTAGTTTACTTTTTTACAAAAAAATATATTACTATATATTTT